ATATATATATATATAAATATATATATATATATATATATATATATATATATATATATATATATATATATATATATATATATATATATATATATATCCTAAATAATTGTCAGTTGTAACGCAACTGAAAAAGCCATCATGAAATGTGGCAGTGGCAGCATAATGCTGTGGGCTGCTTTTCTGCAACAGAGACAGAGAAGCCAGTCAGAGTTGATGGGAAGATGGATGAAGCTACAATGGAATGACTTAAATCAAAGCATAACAATTGGAATGTTGAAATGGCCCAGTCAAAGCCCAAACCTGAATCAAGTTAAGAAACTATGGAAAGACGTCAAAACGTGATAAACCCTGTGAAACATGTTATATTGAAAAAAGTTTCTTGAATTGAAGAAAGTACAAACCAAAACAAATCTTTGCATATGTGTTGGGATTATTTTAGTCTGTTCTTTAATCTAAGGCACTGATTTACTGAATAGAAATTAAAATGGTTATTTTCATGCAAACTAATCCAGAAAGTAATTGTGAAAGTTGTCTCTTTTTTTTCTCTCATTTTGAACAAATAATACAAAACAGATCTTCAGCATAACATGTAATATCAGATTACATGAAATAAAAAAATATAGAGAAATAACAATATATAATAATATAAAATGACCACAAACAAAATAAAAAGATATCTAAATACTTCATATAAAATGTGCACTTTTTAGTGCATGCCGAGCTGCAGGCATACACTATTATGATTATTATTATATCCTTTAAAAATGTAAGTACATTCAAGCACATAATAAATGGTCTGTTGTAACAACTAAAATAAAAACAAAAGTAAATGATATCGCAGATAAGTCTGCTTATGAGATGGAATTCAATTTCTTAACAAGTGTTATTGTTTTTACAAGTTTCTGATCATTTAAATTAAGTTTTTCTTAACTGAGGCAACATATGTTTTCAAGTCAGTTTCTTTAAAATTATTTCATGAGAATTTATTTTTACTCCATTTCATTTTGTGTTCATAATATTTTGCTATAATTATGATTAGACTGACTATACATATTCCATTTGAATAAAAGACTGAATTGGTAACAATGAGCAATAGTTACAATTTGATGAATCCACCATGTAAACACTATTCACAAGCATATATATTTCATATTTTTCTTCTTCATTTCTCATATGTTATTTTCTTCGCACCATTATATTAGGGCTATATTCTGGTCTATGGTCTTGTTTCCTGGCATGTTGGTGATTCTCATGTTGTGAGCAGTAAACTGGCTGCTATTGCGGCCATCCAACAACAGGGGGAGACATTGGCCCGAAAATTGTCTCGGAGAAAACAAGCCTCAGTTTAGGAGGTGAATGAAAAACTTTGTCGCGCGCATTTTCACACCGACTCATTTCATCGCAAGTCACTGGGAGCTAAAATGACAGACAGAAACAATAACGCCGTTTGGCTCAAGTAGTTGGAGACAACTGGCGGGAAAGGAAGGAAGAAGCGGAAACACAAGAAGCAGAGTATCAAACAAACCACATCAATGTGCGTTTACACTTGTCTGAGCTCAAAGCAGCGTCGCTGTGATGGAGCCTCACGGCGGTGCGGTGCGCTTCTTCTCGGTACGGTGGAGGATGTGGTGAACTTACTCGCAAGCCTCGGTGCTGAGCCGTACCGTAACTCTCTGAGGATGCAACACTTTACGCGTGCACGTGCGTGCGTGTGCGCGTGTGTGTGCGTGTGTGTGTGTGTGTGTGTATGGGAGGGCGTCAGGACGGGCTTCTTGCTGTGCACTGTGTGCTCAGTGCAGAGGCTGCGGTTCACTGTGGAGCAGAGAGCCAAGCCTCTGCGCTGGTTTCCGCGAAAGCAAGCGCTTCGTAATTTGGAGGAAGCGGAGGGGAGAGGGATGTGGCCCAGGTGACGGAGCTCAGCGGCTCCTGCGGTCTCGCACCTGGAAGGCTGCTGTGTTCACACACAGGCAGTGACCCCCTGCGAGGGCGCAGGAGTCAGCAGGGCATGCAAGGCCCCGATTTCCTTTAATAACCTCAAGATTATAATAGTGATACGAGGTAGAATTTTCATGCCCTTCAGTCGAGCTTGGACATTTGAACTTTTTAGGTCTTTACCTCATTCATCATCACACGTTTGGGCCTGAAATAGAAGCCTGAACACTATGTTTTATGTGCAAAAAATAAATAAATAAATAAATAAATAAAAATCCCAGTTTAAAAGGACTCGAGGGTCAAAAACTATAATTTCAAAGAACTAAAATGATCAAAACTGTTGACTTTTTTTCCCTACCTACTCAACACTATTTTAGTTTAGTGCTTCATGCACTGCAGTCTTTCTATGTGGAATCCAAAAGCTCCCAAAAAGGATGGGAATATTCACATCTTTGTGACAAAGATGTGAACAAAACTATTTTTCTTGTGGACCAAAATCATCAGCTCAAAGCTTCTTACTGGACAAAAAAAAGGTAGATCCAAAACTACAAATTGTTATTTTTACTTTGTTAACAAAAAGGAATCCGGTTGACTTGTTATTCTGAGCTTGACTGAAGAAAACTGATTTTTTTTGTTGTTGTGTATTCTCAGCAATAAAAACAGGATGAAGGTCAGTCTTCATGTGAAAATACTTCTTATATTTTGCCAAGTTTTAATACAGCAATCATATTTGAGTGCGCCAAGGTTTACTTTAGAGTAAAAGTCAAAGAGTAATTAGATTATTTTTACAATCATAATAAAATGAATCCATAAACCTTGGAAAAGATGATCACATTGTGTTGCATCGAACATTTTTTAAGTAGATTTGAACTTAAAAGTCACAGCTTTGTCCTAAGTCATTTAATTTTTGATGTTGGGGGGGAAATACGACAACCCAAAATTCAGTTTCTTATGAAATGAGAGGAACTTAAAAAAGTTATTTTGGTTAAATGGAGGCGCTGTAAGCTCTGATCCCATCATGGCCTCTGCACTAACAGACGTTGACACCCTGTGCTGAAAGCTGGCTGTTCACACAGGACTGTATCCAAACATAGTAATGGAAAGTTGAGTGGAAGGAAAAAGTGGGTTAGGAAAAAGTACACAAGCAAAATGACAACCACAGTCTTGAGAGACTTGTGAAAAAAAAAGAGTCAATTCAGGAGTGTGGGGGAGTTTCAGAAGCCGTGGACTGCAACGAGAGTCAGTACACACACACACACACACACACACACACACACACACACACACGTATTTAAAACAAAGTCCTCTTTTCAGATGAGAGTAAACTTTACTTTTCATTTAGAAATGAAGCTTCCAGAGTCAAGAGGAAGAGCGGAATGGATCAGGATAGTTTCTTAAGGACATGGCATTTAGTTGCTATTTATGTATTCTTTCTTTTACGATTTCATCTTCTTTAATCCTCCACTTAGTGATTTTCTTTTCATACAAAGTTGCTTGCTTGTAGCTGAGAAAACAAGAGGCAATAATAAATCAAAAACATAAAGTCTAAGCCTTGGATTTTATGATCTTGAGCGATATCTCCTCAAACTCTAAGGGGATATTTTACTCTGAAACCACCAAAAATATGGGAACAACTGGCTGAATTGGAGTAAATTATTATGGATTACTGAAGACTTTTGTACAGGCCTGCACCCAGATTTAAATTAATTTTTTTTTTCATTTTTTAAAAATAATGGTTATGGTAAAATGTGTTAATATGTTGGAAAGAAGTAGCCAGAGAGTAAACCCAAAGAAAATAGCACTTAATCCTAATTTTCTCCTTCAGGACTTAAACTGAATCTGTTTGACTGAAGTTTTCTTGTTTGCTTTTTCCCACATCAACATTCCAACAATATCACAGATATGAAGTTTGTCAAAATTATTTATTCTTTGAATGCATTTAGTTTAGTCCAGAAGTTGTTTCTCCAGGCTTTTATTGGTGTAGAGAAATGTAAAGAAAAAACTAAATGTTTTAGTGCCACATTTTGTGAGGTTTTACAGATGATTTATTATTAAGCAAGACTGTTCATAAGAATCGAGTCATTTCTTCATAAATTTTTTAAGAACTATTTGTGGCTCCGGAGCTGCAGGTTGCACACTCCCGATATAGACAATGGATGATTCTGAGGTTTTAAAGCTGCCATTCTTTTATATTCTAACAACAAAGAACCAGAAATAAAAGCCTCAACATTTTGTTGATCAGCCTTTCTGAAAATGACTTTCTTGTGTCAAAAATGTTGTATAGTGAAGGTTACTTATGAATTGATAGCTGGTTGTACGGTGTTGGAAGATGTAGGGAGGCTGGAAGAAAAAGATAGGAGCAGGTAGGAAGGAAAAGAAGAAAGCAAAAAAGGAAGGACAGATGGTTTAAGACGAGCAGAAAGGAAACAAGGGGCAAAAGGAATCAAGAAAGAAAAGTAAAGAGGAAGGAAAGGAATGCTGCAAGGAAGGAATGACAAAAGGAAGGAATGACAAAAGGACACAAGGAAGAGAAGAAGGAAATGATGTGAACAAGGAAGAAAGGAAAGACAGAAGAACATATGGCAAAAAGAAAGAACAGAAAACAGACAAAGGAAAGGGAAGAAGGGATGAAAATGAGAAAGAAAAGGAAGGGAAGAAGAAAAATACTGCATGGGAGAGATAAACTGCACAAGAAAAAAAAAAGAAAAAAATTAGAATACGGCATTTAGGAAGTGTAACACGGAAGAAAGTGGAGAACTACAACAATTTCTTATTTTTCTGGAAATTACTAAAACCAATCCTCACACTTGGAACCGATCATTAAGAAAACAGGAATAAATTTCTTCCTTCCGTCTTAAAAATGCTTTTAGTAGAGAAGCATTTTGTGAGTAATTTTACATTTAATCTTGAAACAACCAAATCTTGCGTGAACGCACGTTGGCTCGACGCTGACGACAGGAAGTCTGAAATTAATCTCTTTGTTTACAAGTAAACACACAATAAAACCCTGAAGTCTGGATGAATCCCCTGAATGAATATGCATGCAGTAAGGAAGAGCAGCGGCATTCATATTGGGGTTTTAACTGGTTTTAATTAACCCTGATTACATCTTAATTACAAGTTTGGAAAAAAAACAAACAAACAAACAAAAAAAAAACAATGAAAGAAGCGCAGAAATTCAATGTTACATCATCATAGTATTAACTCTCCGGTCTCCGCGTGAGACAACAGCTCTGGGGAGAGAAGAGGAGAGAGAACAGAAAGAAAGAGGGAAATCTTTACACTGTAAAACACAACTTTTCTTCTTTCAAAAGCAAATACCTCCCCACTCCCACCCCCCCCAAAAAAACAACACAAGAAAAATATACAAGAGTGACCGATAAAAGTAACATTATAAAATTAAAATGACAATAAAAGACAAAAGAAAAAGATAAAAACTCCCTCTGTGCCCTGAAATAAAAATCCTCGCCCGCTTTGCTTCCTGCTCCATCCCAGGTGGTACATCTCTGTCAGCACTGAAGTTATTGTCACATATTTCACTTATATCATATTAAAAAGAAGAAGAAGAAGAAAAAAAAAAAGAACTAAAAGCTGGAAAGGATTCAATACAGGGAATGAAGTTCAGGGGTCAAATCATTAAGTGACGTTCACGACGCAGAAAGCAACAAGTAGCCGAGCCGCGGAATAAAAATAATGCCAGGTGGAGAGGTAAATTACTCAATAAAAACAACAAGAATCCATACTCATACTGACATCATAAAAATAAACCAAGAAGTTTGTACTCTTTTTTTCTTTTCTTAATGGAGAAATGTAAAATTTGTGCCGTTTGTCTGACAGTAGAGGCCTGTAACAGGACGAGAGTAACTGGTGAGCGGTCGGCAGCGAGACGGCGGAGAGCGCAGAGCAGCTCAGACGGGTGTCATGTCTGTCGCTGAGATGTGGTGAAGTAAGGCAGCTGTCAGTTCAAATACAGACGTACGACCTGGTGTGTGTGTGTGTGTGTGTGTGTGCGTGTGCGTGTGTGCTTCAATCCAGACCACCAGAGGTCTTAATGAGAGAAATTTAATCAGTTTAACCACAGACAGACTGCAGATCATCTGCTGTTCCTTGAAGGAAAACACAAACAGGTTAAAAATCTGAAAAGTGTGGTGTGGATTTATTTTAGAAGTTGCTTGTAATTAAACTGGTAATAAAAGCCTATTTGTGTGTAATTTAATTTAGTAGAAATCCAGATGTTCTTTCATCAGAGAACAATAGTGAACAAAGACAATCACGAAGGCTTTAGTTCAGCTAAATAAAATGGATTTAGAGCCACAAATGTTACCTGATCTTATGACTTTTGATAAATATCTGACTTTTGATAGGATGTTGATATTTGCACATACTGCCAACCGAATAAGAAAAATAGATCAAATAAAAATGGTTGGTACTTCTAGTATCATTGCTATGGAAATGAACACTGAAAATAGCTGAAACATGCATTTGTTATATCTTTTCAAAACGTCAGTAATTTCTTTCTGATTTTTGAGTTTTAGTCAAAGTTTTTAATCGCCAGTCGGGATCGTTCAAAGAGCCAGTTGTGGCTCCGGAGCCGCAAGGTGCAGACTCCTGGAAAGAAATGTGAGATGGTGAGCTTCATGATGGTGAAGCATGGTGGTGGAAGTATCATGATGCGGAAATGCTTCTCTACAGCATGGAGGCTGCAAAAGACTTGACACGAAACCAGGTGTGTCCAAACGTTTTAGTCTATTTGCTGCAATAAAAACATGATTTGTGCTGCTCTTTATTTAAAAATAAAATATTTAGCCATGTTTTAAAAAAATGTAATCACAGACAGATTTGGGTAAATGGATAGATGTGTTCTGATCCGATGGTTTATGACAAGATGAATAGTTTCTGTGGCATCAAAGACGACGAGAAGATTTTAATTTATGAGTCAGAGTTTAGTCCTAGTTGAAAAAAAGTCTCCATCTGCATCAACCAGGAGAGGTCCAAAACGTGGCTCAGGGGACATTTGTGGCTCTTGAATTGATTTTGATGGAGTCACAATGGAAATATGTGGCAAGGCTTGAAAATTCATGTTCACAGAGATTCTCAGACCGACTGAGCTTGAGCTTGTTTGCAAAGAAAAACCAGTCCAGAAATGTAGATGTAAAAACTGATGAAGACATGGTGACTAAAGAGAGGTGACTTACATTTTTCAGATTTAAAAAAGAAAAAATGAAATCAATGCATCTTTTCCTCTGCTTTACATTGACGCAGTCACTTGTGATTTATCACATAAAATACAACAAAACTTGTTGATTCACTGACAAAAAGATTTTCAAGGAACAGAGGCAACCAACCTGGTGACATCAGGAAGTTAGACCCTGTCAGAAACACTCGTATCTGTCTGTGTGTGTGTCTGTGTGTGTGTGTGTGTGTGTGTAAAAGTGCATAGATTTTAGGGAGAGGGGGATCTCGGTAAAATAATTAACCCTTTTCTCTCGACTGTGCTGAACTTTGAAGCGTTAATACTAACTGGAGTAGGAGAACTGTGCAGGATTAGCGCCTCGCTTAGCCGGCTCTGACACGCAGAGGAAGCCCGGAGAGGTGGCCTGTAGCCAGGACAACTCCGACCAGTGAGCACCCCGCTGAGCAGAGCGAGACTGCAGACAGGGAAAAAAAAAAAAAAAAAGAAACAGAGCGCTGCACGCTACTGCAAAACCAAGTGAACAGCAGAGCCAAGCAAATCGTCTGAATCATTAGCAGTCTGCTGGTTTTCTCTTCCTTCCTCTGGTGGACAGGCCTGAGCTCTTTGTTTACATGTGCAACAAATATACAAGAAATCCCCCACCGTTCCTTGTTCTGCTGCCCCCACAACAACACCTTCTGAGAATGATCCACTCACTATAAAAAAAAAAAAATCCATCATTAAAATGCTGTGCTTCTCTTAAACTCTTCTGCAATCATCTCCGTCTGAATATATGTGAAGATATATTCTGTGTGTGGTTCCAGAGCTCAGTTTGAACAAGCTTTAGAAAGAAGGCGATCAGCGGCAGTGTGTGTTTGCAGGGAGAGGGAGCTGTGACGGCAGTGCTGCGCATGTGTTTCTGTGTGTCGTTTGCTGGTTCAGTCTAACACTGCGAGTGTGAGACGAGCTCGAGCTGCAGCTGAAACTACTTCAGGTGGAGACGCACGCTCTTCCTTCGCTTTTCTTAACGCTTCCCCACACCAGCCTGGGGTTTATATTGTTTCTGCGAAGAGAGAGTCGTGATGTTTCCACACGTGGTCCACGAGAGAACGCTGCAAAAACACAACATCTCACCAAGTAGTTTTGCTCCACGTACTAGCACAAATATCTTAGTACATTTGGAATAAGACAAAACGAACTCAGAAGTGACTTTTGCGCAAGATATAGCAGCCTGTTTAAAGTAAATTATAAATTAATATTGATGAAAAAGTTCCACTGGCAGATTAAAGTGAAATAATCTACGACTGTTTCATCAATAGCAATGAATTCTTGACTCAAAACCAGTTTCTATGTCTTGCTGAAAAGTTACTCTTGAGGTAGTTTTGTCTTATTTCAAGATATTATCATCAGTAAATAGAGCAACAAAAAAAACTTGGTTATATTTTGTGTTCTTGAAGTGAAACAAGACAGAACAGGAGAAAATCAGAGGGGTGGTGGTGTCAAAGTCAAATGTTGAGGGGAAAAGTTGACGTCTCTGCTTGGTTTGGGCTCGATAAAGTCCCTCGAGTCCCGTTTGACGCGTCTGTGTGGATCCGATAAAGGTACAGCAAAAGGCTTCCCTGAGTGGAGAGGGCCAGACAAACACCCAACAGCCCCACTCACCACACTTCCCTTCCTGTCCCACGTGAGCTTTCCTCCCAGCCGCCCTCCTCTGTCCCACCCAGCATGTCTCTCCAGGGCTCTCGGGGTTTGACGCAGGCACTTAGAAGTCCCGTCGGCCTGTAGGTCGAGCTGCAGGGCTGTGAGGGGTCGTTTCTCCTGAGGAAAGACTTGTGTGGCTGCTGATGATGAGAAGATGGGAGCTTCACTGGCCTGGTGCACTGCAAAAACACCAGAATCTCACCAAGTATTTTTAGTCTAGTTTCTAATGCAAATGTCTGAGTCCACTTGAAATGAGACAAAAGTAACTCAGCAACACGAAGGAGCTTGTTTTAAGTCAATAATTGGTTAACGTTGATGAAAAAGTGCCAGTTGTAAGAGAAATAAGTAGTACAATTTGATTATTCACTAACAGATTTCATAAAAATGTTGTCGAGTAGGAGGAATGTCAAAAACAAAGTAAAATCACAAATTCATTTTTGCATTTTTAATTTCGGGAACTTTGTGTCGCTTCAAGTAGTTTAAATTTGGCAGTTTCCGCAAAAAGTTTGGGCACCACTGGTTTAGATCAAAAAATATTCACATATTAAAATGGTCTAGTCAAAGTCTAGACCTAAGTTCACCTGAAAATATTTGTGAGGACTCTAAACAAGCTCCTACATCATGCTGAACAGTTACTTGTATATTAATTAAGTCTTATTTCAAGTGTACTAATACATTTTCACTAGAAACTAGATAAAGTCACTGCTTGTTGTGTTTTTGCGGTGTGGGAGCGGATTCCTCCAGGATTGATGGCGGCTCTGACTCAATGGCTGTGTCAGTTTTATGAGCGTGTGTGTAAGGCTCTGCTCTCGGGTCGTCTAGTTTGTCAGTGTGGGAGTGGGATTACATTTACAAACTCCTGTACTGCTGAAGCAGTAGTGTTGGGGCCGCGCTCCTCAGCAGTCTTTGTTCTCCAGGGACAGCTGGGCCGTGGCGCGGTGCAGCTCGGCACTGACCCTCCGATGTGAAGCCAGAGGCACCGATAAAGACCCCTCATAAGCTAGCGGAGGGGGACTGTCTCCGTCTTCCCCGTCCTCCTCCATTTCCACACATCCGTTAGTTTGCCTCCCTTTATTCCTCCCCTCCTCCGGCCGGACCTTCTTGTCGTCCGACTCTTCCTGCGACGCCTCCATGCGCTGGTCCTCGCTCCAGCGCCTCTTGAACCGCAGCTTCAGAGGGATGCACTTTCCCTGCGCGGCTCCAGTCGAGGACGCCTGGGACTGGGCGGAGTGGCTCTCGCCCGGCTCCACCGGTTCACTCTTGAGGGCGGTCAGGCCGCGGTGGACATGCTGCGAGGTGAAGAACGGCATCAGACCGGGAGGAGGAGGAGCGGGGGCTTTGAAGACGTCCTCGTCCAGGTCTTCGTCCTGCGGCGGATGATGGGCGGCCGCCGTGCCGTTGGACAGGTGGTGGTTGTGGTGGTGATGGTTGGAAACTCTGGGGTGTCGAGCGGAGAAGAGCTCAAACTCGTTATCTCTTTCGTCTGGGTCTTCATCGCTGATGTCCGTCACCTCCACTTCTTCCTCTGACTCTATATCAGAGATGGGCTCCACCTGAGGAACGACAAATCACAACGTAAATTAAGACAGAAACAGAATTATTATCCAGCAGTGTTATTTATTTTACAACTAATCTTGCTTTCTTTTTAGTCTGCACCTTGACAGTATTCATATCTCTTGAAAATTTGAGCCATAACTAAGGTTGGATCTATGGCTGGCACCTATATGAATCCTGAATAACACACTACTTTCTTTTGGTCCATCTCATGCTTGTAGAATCCAATGGAACACGACGAAGTTTGTGGTTTAAATGTGAGAAACTGTGTGAAAACTTTTGCCAGGTACAATAAAATGATCAAAGAGCTAATCTTTGATTAAAGAGAAAGTTTTTGCACCTTTATCTTTGGGAGTCCAGCACTGTTCAAGGACTGCGTTGAGGAGGAGGCAGAAATGATCCCCGACCCGCTTGCCGAGCTCAGGTCGCTGCCGAAGGATAGCGAGGACCCCAGTCCAGAGGTGGAGGACATGGACCCGGATCCGGAGCCAGAGGACAGGGAGCTTTGCCTCGGTTTGCCCTGGCTCTGTCCGTCCCTCTGCTTCCTCCCCAGAGGTGGCGGCTGCAGCTTGAACTTGAAGGGAGACATGTGAGGTGGCTCCTCCCCCAGGTGAAGAGGGTGATGCATGGGGTGGGAATGGGGGTGTGAGTGGGCAGAGTGAGGAAGCTGTGGGTGGTGGTGGGCGGAGTGAGCCAGAGACGGGTGATGGTGTCGGTCTCCGGCCCTCTCCCCTCCCCCGCCTCGCTCTGCCCTCTCAGCGGCCAGGCTGGGCTTGTCGGCGGCGGGCCGGTGGGGCTGAGGGATCACGATGTTGGGGTACTGGAGGAACGCCCGGGGGCTGAGGCCATAGTTGTAAACAGACTGGGTGTGGGCCTGCAGGTAGCGCTTCATGTCTTCTGGGTTGAAGGAGAAGTGGGAGCCCAGCATGGGTGACAGTGTGGGGGACGGGGTGTAGGGCAGGTGGGACGTTGGGGTCATGGACAGTGCTGGGGATAGAGACGGGGCCAAGAGACTCGCCCCTGGGGGTCCAGGCAGAGGGGACACGGGGAAGGGAGACAGCGGCTCCTGGTGGATCCGGTGCCCGGCGGGGCCACGCGGCCCTGGGTGGCCTGCAGGGTTACCCGGCCCTCCGTACATTCGGAAAAGAGCCTCATGAGACAGACGGGGATGGATGATGCTCCGGTAGTTTCCACCGCCGCCGGGGCCCCCTCCTCCTCCGCTCACACTCCTCTCACCCCTCTCCTCTCCTGCACCACCGTTCCCATCCTCGATCTCTGAGTTGACCGAAGTGCCGTCGCTGCAGTCGCTGACGGATCCGCGGGCCATCCGTCGAGCCACGGTGCTGAACATCCCCCCGGGGCTGCGCAGATCCTCGTTGGGGGAGAGGACCTCAGAAGGTGTGGAAGGAGGGAAACGGAAATGGGTTCCTGCTCCGGTGGGGACAGGCGGTGCACTCTGAGGGACACTGCTTCCTGGGAACCCCAATGAAAAAAAGCAATTAAACGAAATATCTTGAAACAATCCCATATAAAGAAGCTGCATTTCCATTGAACCAAATAACTGGGACTTAACAAAATGTAATGTTTGGTACTGGTTTCTCATATGGCGACTGTATGGGGTTTTAATTACTTTATTTTTGTGTTTTTATGATGTAAAGCAGTTTGATCTGCCTTGCAGCTGAAATATTGATGTTTGCATTTTTTTCTTCTCTTTGTTCTTCTTGTTCTTACCTGCTTAAGATAACGGATGAAAACTAGCTGTTGGGCGAACTTGGGCATATTTACATTGAAGCTTAAAGCTGACATGTTAATTAATATGGATAGTCCTACATAAATACATAAATACAATGAAATATTTGATTATGCAGGCTTACCAGTAGAACCCACATCAAAAAACGGGTAGTTGACCAAAACCAGTTTGTTGAAGTTGAACTTATAGGTAAACCTTTTGCCTTTGGTCTTATGAAGGATCCTCTTGTTGTAGTAGTATCTGGAAAAGAGCAAAACCGAAACACATCGCACTATTTAATTCAAGTCTCAGGCGTCGTGTTGCATCAATCATTTCATTGAAATCATGGAGGCTGCGACAGATGTGCCTGCACGCACTAGCCCACACTTTAATAAGGCACGAGTCTTTCATGCACCCCTCACTGCCGGCACGACAGATATTACAGAGTGTTGTATGACATTTGCACAAAGCAGACCCAGAAAAAGGAGGACGGAGGAGGAGAGGGGAGGGTAAGCGAGATGAGAGAAAACAGACAGATGAGCCGTGGAGCAGCACAGTGATGCTGTGTATAAGGAAAAGCAAATGATTAAAAAGATCAGAGGCTGGTGTGAGCAGCATCACCATCCGAGCCAATAGGTAGGCAGTCCTGAGTGGATTATTAGGACGGGACAGACTGAAAGTAGATTTTACAGGTGGTCAGGGTGGTCAACTCCTGACAGTCCGGTCGTTTGATTGGGGGCCAAAATTGCAACATTTGTTACATTTTCAGTTGGTTTGGTTTGCTTTGACACTAAACTGTCAAAAAAAAAAAACAAAAACAAAAAAAAAAACTAATTGAAAACCCTGTTCATCTCTCTGCCAGTTACAATTTTATAAAGAGAAATCATAAATGCACCAACAATAATATTAGCAGGTCAAAGTTTTTCAAAAGCAAAGACAAGAACTTGCATCTTTAATTATAGCTTATTTATTATACCAACTTATTTTCAGTTTTAAGTTAAAGTATCACAAATTGTTGCGTTATTGCCATAAATATCCTTAATTCAAAATAACATGCTATGAGATTCCCATATTTATTTGTTGGTTTTATTTATGTAAAGGGGTTCAAATGGTGTCAGCGTGGTGCCACACACCACACGGGACATTTTGTTACCATTTTGCTGGATTTTCATTTTATGTAACAGCAAAGCAAATCCACCAATAATTCAACCCATCTTTATCTGTTTATGTAATGGCCATTCTCTCCATTTCTCCCCCTGAGCTTTCTCTCTCCTCCATGGTTCCTCCCTACACTACAAGGCTCCATTTTTATTAACCTTTGTCCAGCTACAGCTCTTTATGTAACATCTCTCTCCTTTCTTATCCAGATCCACATCCACTTTTATGTAACCTCCAGAACCCTGGCAGCCACACACCGTCTAAGGGCAGCAGGAGAAACACAGAAACAGGTAGAGAAGCCAAGACGATGCATGCCTCCTAATTTTTACACAAACACACTTTAATTTTCTTTCAGCATGGGTTTTCTAGCATGAGTTGGATAATGAGGCCTGGTAAAAATAAGGGTTTCTTGAAGATATGTAGTTATTGTAGTTATATGTAGTTTGGTTAATCAAAGCCCGCTGACGATCATTTAAACTCAGTGGTAGTTAACTACATGCCGGTGTGTGTCTGTTTTTCCTGTTGCCTTCTTTCCGCATCTTATTATGCCTATCACCAGACTTTTTCCACCATTTTCTTGCTCTGAGAACAAGCTGTTGCTCTTTTTCACTTGTCCTCTTCACCCTCCCCGCTCTTCTTCATTTCTCCCACACTGATCCCCCCTGTCTTCCACTTTCTCCTCCAACTATCTCCACTGATCCCCCCCGAGGCGATGGGTGAGTGAGGGAGGGACAGCGAGAGACAGGACAGGCCTGCACTGTTGAAAACATTGTTTACGCCAGGCACAAAGCGGCGTGTAATTTCTGCTCTAGGGGAGACACTCGCAAGGGTCTGGAGAGGAGGGAGGGTGAGGTGATTGGGAGCAAAGGAAGGGAAGGAGACAGAAAAGCAGGCAGGAAATCAGAAAGAATTGAAATCAGAACAGGAGTGTGGCCAAATCAGTTGATTACTGAAAAGTCAACAAGCTGCGCTGCTGACCATCTGAGGGTCCGGTACCAATCCAGACTGGACAGAAAGTCAGAAAAGTTACAGGAACACATTCTCAGTTGGAATACTTCAGATTCAAGGGTGGGTAAAAATATTGATTCATCAACGTAGAAGACCCTCTGATCATCTTCTCAAGTTTAAAGGTAGTTGCATTACTGCCACCTACTGGTGAGGAGTGAGAGTCAGAATATTGTTCCAATATGGTTACAAAATATTAGAAAATGTGAATTATCTCAGTTTCCACAAAGAGAATTATTTACATTTATATACGTTTTACTTAAGTGTTAACACACTACTGTCATGTTTTAACTTTTGTACTCCAAACTGAGCACAAGTGTAATTTCGCTATTTTCCTGCTCAAAAATATTTATATATATATATATATATATATATATATATATATATATATATATTATATATATATACATATATATATATATATATATATATATATATATATATTATATATATGTATATATATATATATATATATATATATATATATATATATATATATATATATATATATATAAAACAAAGAAAATAAAATAAAAAGTAACACATAAAATTACTAATAGACAATTCATAAATTACTTCTATTACTATTTATTAGGAAATTGATATTGAAATATTTAAATCAAAACTGAATCTAAATCAAACCGAATTGTGACCCACATTATCATATAAATGTAAATATTCTCAAAGACGTCTGTTAATGTTTGAGACGCAACTACTCAAAAAATCTGAGTTATTGCAACTAAAATTATAAATCAGAGCTAATACAATCAAATAATATCACTTCTTAACAAGTGAGCAACCTAAAACAAAATCTGTCATGTTTCTACTATTTCCTGATACAAAATCCTGAATCTAGGACATTTAAAACAAAAACAAATAAAACCTGTTTTTATAATGGATATATATTCAAATTAGGGCTAAAACACTTTGTTGTTCCATAAAATATGGAAACAACAAAGTTTCCATATTTTATGGAATAGAAGGTGAAATCTTGTACACTAAAGATGAATGAATCTGTGAAGCAAGAAAATGCCGAGATCCAAAGTTGGAAACTGCCAACAACTTAGCAGCAACTGGTGGAGAGTGTGGAGCACGTGGTGATCCACCCCCACCCACCGACTCCTGCGCCGTCACACGGGCAGAAGGTCTTTGAAGAGCATTTGAACTCACTTCAAAAGAGAAGAAAGGGATTCTTTGAGTGCCTGTGTTTAGCTGCCCGCCAAACTTGCCCTGTATGCACACACAGACACTTGCACCTCTAACACACACTGCGCCATATCATTCAGACACACACATCAGTGACCCCTCAGATTTATCTTCTGCATCTTTATTCCACTCTGTGCTGAACTGAAACGATGACCCTGACAAGATCCAAGGAAACAAAGGAGCGTGTGATTGATTGGAGGTGTAAGGCTGCAATGATCTGATGATCAGAGCAGAAACAAGTAGCAGTGCAATGCAAGGACATCAACACTTCAAACTGCACATTAATTATGTTTATAAACACAAACAGACTCTCTCCATTTCCTGACAGAAAAATACACAACTATATGTATAGGAACAACTTAAGAACTCAAAATTTGTGGGTGTAATAAATAAGAGGGAAACTAAAGTTAGGCTTTACAAAGATCACAGAGTATTTTCAGATATTTGTTGTTATTATACAGTGTCTCAATGACTGTCTAAAATAACATCTATCAGGGGAATAATTCTGAGACGTCGGCTGTTTAAGTTTCCAGCTATGTAATTGGGTTAACAAAGGCTGGGTTATGCAGCATTAAAACATTTTCAAGAAAAATGCAATGCATACTCTGAGTTGCTTTATGCCATCTGTGATGTCACCACAGTCATGTACAGATGGATGGATGGAAGTTTGTTGTGATCTGATCACAAAAAGATTCACAACCAAACTGAAAAACAAATACAAAAAACCACAATCATGAAAGATAAAAAGTCACACTAAACTGAGTTTGGTTGATTCTCTGGAATAATCTGACCAGAAACTTCAAAGTTTAAACCCCCCCCCGTAAACTTCAAAGATCTAAAATAATAAATATTAAGAATAACTAATGGATTTTGGGAAGAGCAAATCATGCACTTTGGTTTATAGTAGGGCTGAACAATGTATTGTATCTTTGTGTGCTAAATTCACATCACAAAGGACCGACTGGGGCACAATAATTGTTATCTGATATATTAAAAGTGTTATGGACCTGCATTTTTCATCCTAATGTAATAATATTCAGCCAGTTGGACAGAGTCATACGGCAACAGACGTTCACACTGGACGCTAATGATGTTGCCCAAAATACTCAGAGACTGATGGAAGCACAGATAAGAAAGAGAGGAAAGAAGAAAACAGGCATATATGACAACTGATATTTCAGTATTTACCATTGATTATCACCAGTGCCCTGACAATTAGAATAACTTTCCAATGCAGAGTAAAACTATACTCATTTACAAAAGGAGGTTAGATCAGTGCAGGGTAATCGTCAACAGGATGGCAGGAGTGCAGCATAACCCTCAGTGCTAAAAAAAAACCCACAATGCCAGCAGATGAAAGACAAAGTTAGAGCTCAAAATGTTCTGGGACATCAAAGTTTGTCAAGTAAAAAAAAGAAGCCTTTTATAGATGAACTGTGTTTAACATCATGTAATTTTGATTTCCTGGTTAGCTCTTTTTCAGTATCACTCCACACACACAAAAACACACATGTCCTCCTCTAAAAGCGAACAGTGGCAGCTCCGCTCTGCATGCGCGTGGACAGGCTGTGCCTTGCCCATTGTTGGGCCGTAAATAGGGGCTGACTGTGACAGGAAGTTAGGATTACAATACTCCCCATGTGTCCCGTGTTTATTTTCTGCCTCTTTCGTCAGCGTCGGCTGTTATAAACACTCGAATCCCAGCCAGATCTACCTCAACACATATGCACACACACCAGCTGCTCATACTCAGGTGTGTGTTTGTGTGAACAAGGCGCACATGTACGTCAAAGCCCTTCGTGTAACAGTGTTTTACTGAGTGGAAAGGAAATTAAATGTGTTTGTGTGAGCATGTGGGCTGGGGGTGTGACTTGTGAAGATGTTGCATGCTC